ATTATATGCAAATATAAGAATTGTATAACAAAAGTTTGCCTGCGTATTTATGATAGATGATAAAAATCCCAGGCGCATTAACCCAAAAGGTATCGGGCTCATATATATATATATATATGTAGAGATGCGTCTGCTTGTGTTTTGTAGGCGCTGTTACAAACCTATACACCGGTACATACACATGAAAAGCTATGGTATGTCTACATGCATACACAGATACATGCGTGTATGCACATATCGTTGTCTTCCCACAAGTGCTGAACCCTGAAACCCTTAAAGGATACCCCTTCCGGGAGAGCGGAGGCCTCCGCCTCCTCCAGGCGTTGCCTGGCGGCTGCCTCTGCTTCGGCTGCAGCCGCAGCTTCCTGCAGAGGCAAAAAATGTAGTGTAGAGGCTATGCTTTAAGGTGGTTTGTGTTTGAGGGATTTGGGCTTATAGAGATAGGCTTATAAGGTTGTAGGGTTTGTTGCTTAAGTCAAGGAGATCTCAAAAGTACTTTCCCTGTAGAATTCTTGACAGCTACCCTTACCCTCTGAGTTTACCTAGATGAGCAGAATGCTGACCCCATGTTGAGAAACTCCCACAAAGAAAGTAATCTAAGAGAGAAGGGGAGAGAGAAGGGGAGAGAGAAGGGGGAGGAGAGAGGAAAGGGGTAGGGGGCTGGAGGAGTCTTGATGGTAAAGTCTTGAAAGCAGCGCCTTCGCCGCATCCTCCCGAATTCTGGTGGCGTTCTCGTGGTTGGTGGCTGTGTCCTGAAGCTTTCATGCATCACGCAAAAATTCTGGTGGGCAAAGACAGGTCTTTTTTCCAGGAGCAGAGTACTACTGCCGCATTGCACGTCACCTCATTTCATGACAAGCTTGGCCTTCGTTTTCACAGCCGCCGTCTCATGAGCATCACGCCAGAACTCCAGTCGAGCTTGGGACACCTGCAACGGGTAGACCAATGGAAGCTAACAAACGGAGTTCTCCTCTCCAACAACCTGGAGCAAGCCGGAGCCAGAGATTTGTTCAGTATGTAGCGGCCTGAACCCGTCATGACAATTTAAGACGCAACCTTCGCTCCAGAGAGTGAGGCTTCTCCGTTGCCATGCACTACAATACTTGGCGACCTTGCGGCAGCTCGACTTACTCATGCAGCTGCCTGTCATCAGATCACTGTATCACCGCTGCATTTGCGCTACAAGAACTACGGCCACAATTCCAATGGTGATACGAATTACTCTCTCGTTTGTTATTAATACCCTTTCTAGCTTCTCAAGTTCGAGTCCAACTTGAGCGAAGATCCTTACTCTTGACGCCACATAACCCTGAACCCTACAGCCTTCACTCCAAAACATTATTACAGGCCTCTTTGATACCCCGGCACTCTTCCACGGCTCGCTCCGCGCGCCAAACCTGCAAATCGAAATGAAGGCATAATGTGGGTAGTTATATCCTAAACCCAAAATAATAGTTTCCATTTGTTTTCCATTATACCCGTGTAAGCCCTTGAAAGGATGTGCTTCTTTTAAATGATGACAGAAGTCTTCGTTATGATGACAGAAGTCTTCGTTACAGGGGTGATTGTGGAGCCAGTCTCAGGTTTCTGTACAGTGTTGAAGTGCCGTGGAGATTGCACTGCACCTGGCTGCGTGATAAACCACTTGTCAAAGCCTGACACAGCTTTCCGGGAAAGGTGGCCAGATGAGTAGAGCTCCTGGTGTCAGGAACTTGAGCGTGGTCAGCATTGGCATGCATGCTACTACGATATGAAATTTGCGTAAAATGGCGGGTGTTGCCACCATTGCAGTTAGATGGTCTGCAAGCGAACAGAACCATGCGAAATTCCAACCCGCTTAGCTTCAACTGCCTCAAGCCTCCGACAAAATCAATCATGTATCCAAAGCGAACACGCGAAAACTCAAAATCTAATCCCTGTCCCTGAATCGTCCTAAACCCTGAACCCTGCACCCTAAGCCCCCTGAAACCCAAAGCCAGCCCCAACAACCAAAGGTACCTTGGCCATGTTGACCAGCTCTCTCTGGGCCAGGGCCTTTGCCCGCTCATTCCTGGAAACACGGCCAGTACTGGGCATGGCTTAAGGTTCAAGGTCTAGGGTGATATTTAACCTGTGTGGTAATTGCAACATATAACACAGGTCTAGGGGCTAGAGCAGCAGTAGGCAGACAGGTGAAAAGCAAAAAAAGGTTATCAGTCACACGTTCCTGAAAGTATGGGAGGCTGACTCAAATAGAAGTGGATAGCAAAGGGTGACTCTGATATGAGGACTCTGACAATACGGGAAACATGAAGATCGACTTATGTGTGAGAAGTATGGGAGCGCGACTCCAAAACGATGACAAAACGTAACTCTAGCAAAAGCGGTATGGGAGCATGACGCTTGGTGAACGAGAGGGGCAATGGCCAGTCGCCCGCTGATAATTATAGGACATGACATGGGGTTCTGGCGCGCTTTGCACTCTCAATCAACGGCTATAACCGCGAATGCTACTGTATGTAGGGTGGTGAGGGTTTGTACTGGTAGAAACGCCAGGCCTTGCATCTGAGTTCTTGGTGACATGCTCCAGCTCCTGCACCATACGTTCTTCAGATCAAGAGACATGCCATAGGGGATCCCTAGTAAGGAGTATAATATATTGGGGTCTATATTGGGGTCCCCTTATTTAGGGAAACTACCATAGGTACCTTGTTGGCTCCCATGATGTGGATCACCGCATTGAGCCGCTGGGCTTGGGTCGTGAAACCGGGCAAGGTTCTGATCTCATGTATGGGGGGCGGTGAAGACATACTGCAAACCTAGCATGCTCCTCGACAACATGGGTCTGCCTTAGACACTACCCTGGACGATGAGACAGGAACGCTTCTGAGTGGAATGCATCACACAGCCAAGGTCCAAATAGGCCCAGGGCATGGTCTTCCCTGTACGAATTAAATTCATCAAAGCTTCAATCAACTGACTTCGGGGATGCAGTGCCCATGCTACTTTTTGGTCCTCATTGAGCTTCTGGAACTCGGATTGCTTGGCAATGGCTTCCTGCAGGCAAACTGTCCAAGTGATTTTCTGAAGCAATCCGACCTGAAGTCACTAATAGCAATAACTATTTGAGAAAGCAATTTCGACTGGTGAAGGATGCCATGAATGAGATCGCTCTTCTGCACATGATGTCTGCCTCATTTCTTCATCACAAATACCAACTTTTGCAACCTACCAAATGCTACGACTCTTTCAAATCTACATCTTTGATGTTGCAACCAGACTTGCTATGAGTGCGCGCCTGAACCAGCAAGCAAGCTGAATTACAACGCTCCTTCTGGGACGCCTCCGCAGACTCAGCCCGCCTCTGGGCGGCATCGATCTGACGGCAGTAGGCAAGTGAGAGACCCTCTGGGGCCTGGGAAAATGGAGAGTCTACCAGGGAAAGCAAACCTGCAAAGAACAAATGAAACACGTGGAGCATCGCTGCGTCTGGTTTGATCCAATTCCATCCAGGAGCCACACTGGGTGGCGCAGGAGAAATCAAAGGGATGGTTGCTTGGTGAGGAGTAGCACCTTCCTGGGTAAACGACCTGTGAAGATTCTAAGTGCTCTGAATGGGCGAGACCATTGGCAAAATCTTGCAGCGTAGGCTAGCCGAACTGTTGCATCTCATAATAATTTGCTAGTGTGGTGCTGGATTCCTTCCATCAGCAGACTTTTCTACACCTTTAATCAGATAAACCCTATATCATCTGCATACTCCCAGTGACCACTTGTTTGCAGTTCCTCAATTTCTGTAGCATAGAACCTGACCTGTAGCCTAAGGCACAAGGGCTGCCAGTTCTTCTCCCTCGGTGCATCCGTCGAAGGTCAGCTTTACAGTCAGCCTGTTGTTGCTCCACACAGACCTGAGGTCATGGGAATCTGAAGAAGTCAAAGAAGACCGCTGAGAAGATCTACATTGGGTACTGCCCCCCCTCAGTAACAGTTGGATAATAACTATAATAGGGTTATATATAGCCCTTAATAGGACCCCTAATATAGACTGTTACTGGGAGGGGGCAGTACCCAAGATCTCCAGTAGAACTGCAACAGTTTCTGTAGGCATCTCGACACCCAGCATCCCAAAATCCCAAACGCAACCCCTAACTTCCCCAGACCCTAACCCTAAACCTTGGGTATTGCCCCCACCCAGACAGTCCATAGTAGCGGTCCTATTAAAGGCTATATATAACCATATTATAATTATGGTCCAACTGTTTCTGAGGGTGGGCAGTACCCAACCTAAACCCTAAACCCTGAATCCTATACCCTAAATCCTGAACCCTAAACCTCTCTCTGGTTTTGGGCCTCCCTCTTCAAGCGCTCATTCTCCTCAACGATAGCTGCATCTGGGCTCACCGTCTCGGCAGCCTTAAGGAAGCTGCATTCTCAGGAAGGGAATGATACAAGGTGTTACATAGGGTTCTATAGGGTTATATGGATATTTGGAGATATTTGGGCTACCGGTTCAAGGGTTATATAGGGGTCTATGGGGTTATGTGGGCTACCGTCTAAAGGGTTATCTATTGGGTATGGCCCCCACCCGTTAACAGTCCACAATAGTGGTCATATTAAGGGCTCCATACAGTTATACTATTAATTTTAACCAGCTGTTAATGGGTGGGGGCAGTATCCAAGTTATATAGGGTTATATGGGAATATGCGGGCTACAGTTTCAAGCGTTATATAGGGGGTTATTTAAGGTTGGGGATATTGCTACATTTCTCTAATGCAGAATCAAATGGAAAATGAAATGGAAGCCTTCGGTGCCTTTGAAGTGTTATCTTCTTTTGGGGAGCTCTCTGATGAAGCTGCTTAGGGGTTGCTGGGATACAACTACTTGCCGGAAGAAGCAAGTTAGGCACACAGCTGCAACTTCTCAGCCCACTGGCTCTGGAACTCCAGAACTAACAACATACTGCCCTCAGGTATCTCGGAACTTATGTGCACCCCACGCACGACAGATCCTAAACATTCCTCGTCTCGTGGGCTAAGGGCTTGATGACCAGTAGGTCCTTGAAAGTAACAGTCTCGCAGCTCCTGGGCCCCGAGCGGCCGGCTGAGGTTGAGGGGCGCTGGCGCCCCCACCCATGGCATGACGCCGGTATAACGGGGGAGGTTTGTACAATCTAGGAGTAGGGCTTTGAGGAACCTGAAGGGGAAGGACGAAAGACTTGAGTATGCAACGACTTTGACGTGGTCATGGCCACTCATCTTTCAAAACAACACAAATGGTGACTTTCTGAATAACATCCCAAGCCTGGGTTCCGTGTAACTCTACTATGCCTAAACGCTACAATGGGCTTGACAGCAGCGAGGAGCAAAGATGAGGGAAGCCCATGCAAGGGGGAACTGACAGCCTGACTTGCATCAAGAGACTGACTGTTGGCATTTCTGCCACCACATGTCAACACCAGCATGGAGTTCCGATAGTCGCCTCAACATTCCCAGTCATGTTGGCAGAGCTCAAATTCTTGGATCCCTGAAGCACTTGCGAACCCATTTCTTCCCCATACAACCACAAAAACGAGGCCATAGAACCCACGATCTTGAGAAAAGAGCTCCCTTCTCTGTTACCTCCCAAGTGGCATCAAACTCTTCCTCCTGCGCAGCGGCCACCAGAACACGCTCCGAACGCATACCAAGCCTCAGCCACGTAGTGCACAAAACGAATAAAGAGCATTATTGGGGGAGGTGACTTGTCCTCCCACAAAGGGTGGACAAAAACTCATCCACCAGACGATGTAGGTCAGGGTGGAGCAGCTAGATTTGCAGCAAGCACCAGATTTGGGGTTTCCTTGAAATCCCTGCTAGCCTGGGGACCCTTAATTTTGATGGGACTCCCATTCTCTGATGGATGCAAGGCTCTGGGAATCGAAGAAGGCTATAGGCTCCTTCTTCAGCAGCTCAACGTCCTCCAAGACTTGCATGCTAAGCTTTGGGCATAAAAGCCAATGATATTGTCTCAAGTGACGCTTGGGAAGATGCAATCTCACTCCCTTCCTACCGATATGCCAGTCATATCTAAAATTCGCATGCCACCATCTGCGAAGAGCAGTCAACCAGTTCAACACACATGATGAGGGATCGTGATTGGTCATATCTTATCTTGTGCCAGTCTTGTTGCTGTCATGCGCTTGCGCGCGTTAGATGCAACGCCTCAGTGAGGTGCCAGGAACAGGGTAATGAAGATCTCTCCTTGGACCCAAACAACATTGGCACGGGCTCCTGCGGGTCGGCCACAGCATGCAATCGCCTTGTTTCAGCAGCGCATCACGAAAACGGGACGAGTCCCTGATTTTCATCAGAACCCCCAAACCACCAAGGCGCAAGGTTTAACTTGCGACTGCTCATGTCTTGGCACCTTCTCAATTGGGCCCTTAGCTTCTGGTAGTTAAAGAAGCAACACGACCTAATCGGCATCATGAAGGGAAGAATCCTGCTTCATCATTGCCATCGTATATCTGCCCGACTGGCATAACCTTACATACGCGCTCTGTTTACCTGCCGTCGTCAGACACTGCGTCCTTGACTCTTGAACTCCATACTAGCTGTCCCACTGTCTATACTACTATGACTACGACTTCACTAGGATGCTATCCCACTGCCATCCCAAGGCCCAGGAGACCCGACTTTGGCTCGGCGCCTGAAGTCCACGAAGCTGCCCTTGACCCCCTCGCGGAGGACGCAGATGGACAAAGCGAAGTCCGGCACTGACTTCTCTGGCCTGGGGAATTCCGGCTGCTAGAATTGTAAGGGTTTCACACGTGCATCTGGTTTGGAGGGACCCAAAAACGTTTTTTTGCTATCCTTTCATGAATCCTCATGACGCAAAACACCCTTCTGCAAAGCCTGCAGCATCCTTCCGTGTCGCTGAGCGTGCTCCAATTTTGGATGTCTTGCACATACCGGCTTCCACAAGCCTTCCGCGAAACGTGTTGCTTCCGCGAAGTATGTCCTCTTCTTGAACTCTCGTGGTGTAATGCTCGTCTCTGACTAAGCTGCTACGAGCAAGCTTATGCTCATCATTGAGCACTACAGTGCAAATAGTCGGCTATGGATAGTCTTGTTGCTGCGCAGGAGACATGGGCCTCCAGCCTTCCGTAAACCTTCCGTGAACCTTCCGCCGGGCTTCCCCAAAGTTTCCCTCCGCAAACCGGAAACCTCAACCTCCAAACGCGTCGCTACTTTACCGGCATTCAAGTCTCAAGGGCTTTTGTTGGGACATGTGACTACTCATCATGCTTCTTTTGCTCAGAAGCTGATATGTTATGTCTTCGGAGCTTCCGCAAGCCTTCCGCGAAGCCATCCCCTTAGCGCTCGCCTTCCACTGACCTTCCGCGTCTTTGCGTGTGCAAAGTCTTGTGCAGGTTTTGGGTGGTCAAACTCAAATCTTGTGTCGCCAACGAACTGTAAGTAGTACAGCGCAAAAAAGCAGCAGATTCTGCATGCTGTTGAAAAGAGACGACCCAGCTCACATCGGAACGTTACATCTCGCAAAAAGAGTTGCTGAGCAACTCCTCTAAAATCCTTCAGGGAGAAGCCCATAGTTGCCTTACACTCCCCCTTGGACAGGGTCCAAAAAGGGCACAAACCCCTATGTATAAACCCCATTATCCAATAGCACCCCACCCTTTGAAGCCCAGGCACCTGAAGAGGCGCCTTGGGGCATCAAAGCTCGGGGAGCTTCGGCCATCACGATGCCAAGTGGAGGCCTCCGAGGCCTTGGGCTTCATTTACTATAGGGCTCAAATACTTTTTGGCGTCTGTTTGAGTTAGCCTATACTGGCGCAGCCCCAGGAAAAACTGACGTGTCTCTGCAATATTGGCTGGACCATGAGATCATGTGATTGCTATTGCAAAACTTATCGCAATGAGAATGTTCATGGTTCTTTGTCATGAGCCATCGTGCACACATAAAAAGCTGACGGTGCCATCTTTGCTAGAACGTTCATATGACTTTCCCAATAGAATTTCCAACAGGGCTTTCCAGGTTGGGGGGTTAAAAGCTTTCAGAGGTACATGCCTCGGGTTTATGGTTTTGGGGGGGGGCTTAGCATGTAGGGCATTGTTCGAGGCTGGGTTGCTACGAAAGCCCCAGGACTTTCAAATGTTCATGTTGGACTGGGCAAGCCTGAGGATGTTGTGAGGCTAATAACTTGTTCGCGAGGCGAATAACTGGTTCCAGCTTGTTGCTGCCCTTATGGAGGCAATGTCTACGCTAACTCAAATTTCAAATGGTCATATTGGTTACATTGCAAAGAACTCAAAGGCTCCGGTGGCTATTGAGCATCACTCTCTATCAGACAAATGCCTCGTCGACATCGCGCACGAAGAAGTCCGGAGCCTACAGCGAACAAGTCACCATCAATCTCTTCGAAGCACAAGAACGATCCGGTGAAACCATATCTTTTTTTCCTACAGCCGGCGCAAGGTTTTAACACATCGAAGTCTTGAGGTTTCATTACTCTCCTGACTCTCTCCACCCTCATCCTGATGCCTCGTCGCCCAAGCTATATGCGCTGGCTCCAAGCAAGCCGAGCACGCCCAGCAGCGATGCCTAAGCTTTGGGTCTCAACATCCAGAATCCCCGGCTCATGACAAGCGATGATTGCGGCTCAGGGCAGTTGGCTTCCAGTGTTGCCAGCCTTTCCCGCTACATGGGCGGAAGTCGATCAGACTGAGGGCATGTGCCTGGATGCCCCATCCCGCAACCTGATTGATTATCCACACCGTGCATACTCTTCTTCGTACAGTTTGCGCGGCAGTTCGCGTGTGCGACTGAATTTCCTATGCTTGGCAGTGCCGAGAGTTAAGGCAAGAAAGCATACTCAGGCTCAATTGTCAAAGCCCCGAATACTTCGCCCTGAACACCTCCAAACCCTAAACTGACCTGCAAACTCAGAACTGTTTACACCCTCTTGCCTGCCTCGGACTCTACGCGGCGGCGCGCCGTTGGCGCTTCCACGGGTAGCCCTCGAAGCAGAACCTTCAGCACCCGAAACATGAATCTACATGCAGCTCAGCCTCCTGGCAACCAGTGTGTGGTGTTGGGAGGTGGTACAATGAGTGATAGTGTTGTCAAAGCATTACCACTACCACGGAGCAAGAAGAAGAAAAAGAAGCATCGGGATAAGACAGAAGCATGATGACACTTGCGTTATGTCTATCGCCTGTTTGGACTCCTGGGCGTACAGGCATCTAGCAATAGGGATGTAGGTGGTTAGGTCTACCGTTTCCTCCGAAGACCTTGGCTGAACTTGCAGCTTTGCAACGCTTAAGTTTGAATGAAATTCTCGACTCGGATCATGAGGTAAGACTTGGTGCCTGCTGTGTTGCTTTCCAAACAAAAGCTGCAGTTTCCATTCTCTGGTACGGCCTTGTCTGACAATGATTGAATGCATACATGGTGAGCACAAGCAGAACAAAGTTAGCAGCAACAACAAGCCAGACAAGAGTACAGCTGATGATAATGAGGATACTCTGACCAGTACAAGGGGGCCACCCCAGGCGAGTACGTAGCCCCGATTTCTTCAGAGATCGCCCTACACCCAAAACTCTGCCCTTACTCCGATAAAATCTGGACGCTAGCTTTTTCCTCTATCCCATGAGATCCCCGAGCCGAGGGGAAACCTGCTCAAAAACTAGGTCACGGTAATGCAGAAGCTTGAAAACATCTTTGCAATACACATACCACCACTTTGAAGAAACCCTAGACTACAAAAAAAAACAAGCCCCACACCCTAACCTAGGCCCCCCCAACAAAAAAATGCAGTCTACCAAGCAACGCAAGCTGGCCCGCTGGCGGCGCTGAGGCTGGCAAGTGCAGAGCGGAGATTTAGAGGCCTGGGACTGGTTATATAGGCATTATATAAGAACAATGGAAGATAAAATGGAAGCTATCATATTATAGTCTTTTATAGAGATAATGGAAATGAAAATGGAAACTACTACAATAGATAAGGTACATACTGGAGTTAGATATGAGCAATGGAGACTACTATGAAAGGGAATGGTAATGGAGACTCAAATGAAAAACAAAACGAAAATTGACGGCGTGCAGCTTGCAGTCAAGGAATGGAAAAAGAAAGGATTAAGGAAAGGGAGGAATGGAACAGAAATCGGAAAATATGTGTGTGTATATATATATATGTATATATCTAACTATAGATATAGGTAGGTTGTACCCAACAAATACTCGTCTTAGGAAGATTGACTTGTGAGGAGGGGAGGGGATCAAGTGCATCCGAAAGGACAGAAGCAGATGGTAAGCTAGTTCAATGGATATACAACAAGTGAAGAACTCGCACAGCAAGATTTCACCAACTTCTTATGTGGCAAACACTTTGCTGGATAGCAGGATTGCTCAAACTCCGCTTCAGCCCCGCGGTACTGGAACATGGGACGCTGGATGAACCGCATGATCACGTCAGCTTTGGAATACCTTGCGAGCCGCAAACCCTGGTCTGAAGAAAAAGTGATAGTGAAAGTCACCCAGCTTTGCCCCACGCTCTGGAGCCAAGCGGATGTAGCTTCATGCGACACGGTTCCAATAACTTTGTCGAAGCTTTCCTTCAAAGATCTGTGCTATTCAGGCAAGGAGCTGGAATGGAAAGACTCGCAAAGCGTCCTTGCAGCGCAGATGGGTTCAACCGACTGTCAAGCTCTTCCTCATACCGTATGGGGCTTCTCAGACTCATGAGGAGCCCCCAGGGTGCTATAAAGCGCATCTTATAAGATGGTAAAGAATACCCTGCTTATCGTCTCTGCAGAACTCCAATACAGGAGCAGGTGATCGCATAATGTGTTCAACTCTCTCATTCCTGCTCTGTTTGGACGAGGAACATCCACTACTACCTGAAATGGAGTTGAATGGTACTTGTGGCATAGCCTGCCAGCATAGCCCTGCGGTCCTGCGCTGCACTCTCCACGGAATCCTTCCGAGGGCCGCGTGCGTACTAGGAAGAGAAGCGGAAGTTCTTCGAAGAAAAAGCCGTGGTTCTAGGTCCATGTAGATGTTATGCATACACATATATTACATGGGTGTGTACTGTCCATGCGTTCTATGCTGTTGCAAGACCGCATGACAAATACTCAGAAGACTTCAAGAAGACTCTTGCGTGGCTTTGGCACAAGCCACGCGAGCAGCCACTCCTAGGAATGAGGGGGTCTAGGACACCTGAAGACATCCAAACTGAACCCCCGCTGAACCCTGAATGGGAAGGCATGAACTACCTCATTTATGCCTTTGCAACCCCCAATCCGCAAATCCTCGGGGAATCCTTGAAACCCTTAAGTTTCAAAAAAAGAGTAGCAAAAAATCCCGCCCACGCCCAGAAAGTCATGGCTCCTGTGAGCGCACACGCCGGAAAAGCCGCACCAAAGCTGACCTCCCAGCATCCCATGCTTGCTTGGGGATTTCCAGATAAGTAGATTGTGGTAATCTGTAATAGTAAGTATAGGGATATAGGTTATAAGGATGTTTCTTGTAAGCATACTATTGTTTGTTTTTGGGTGGTTCTAGGTGGACATGATACTGTTAAACTAATAGTAACTGTGGGGGATGTAAGTTATAACTAACCCTAAACCATAAACCAAAAATCCTTAAAGCCCTAAACCATAAACCCAAAACCCCTAAACCCTAAACCCCTAAACCCAAGTTATAACTTATAACTTATGACCTGGTCATGCTTGTTTGGCGGTGTCAGGGTTGAGAATGGCTTAAGGCCTCAGACAAATAGAAACTCACCTTTGCCTAGCTGGGAATGAAGGAATGGGAAAGCAAATGGAAACTACAATAATGGGTTGTATAGGTTTAGGGTTTAGGGTTTAGAAGGAATGGAAAACAAAATGGAAACTACTGTAATGGCTTTATAGGGGCTACTACAGCCAACCAGAGGAAAGGAAAGAGGTAAGTAGTGCTGGCACTGCAATTGCTACTCATCGAGCAGGCTTTACTGTGATTGTTGTAGCCCAGTCTTATTACTGTAATTCCCCGCGTTTGCTACCACTGTTTCTTAAACCGGTGCGAAAACATGGAAGCTTGAAGGGTTCAGGCCATATAACCCCAATATATAACCCATGATAGTAGTTTCCATTTTATTTTCCATTATCCCAATATAACCCTAATATATACCCTATAACTTGAATTGGTCACGGTTTGGGGAGTAAGGTTGACTTGGCAGTCAGGATTCCCGCTCTGTAGGGTCTGCATGTCATGCCAGGGAAGCTGTGCATTTCGCAACAGGACTCCCTACGCCTGCAAGTCCACGCATCTTCACTTTCTGCAAGAAGTCAGGCTGCAGACATGGGGCTCTTCTTCTAGTTGTTAAAAGAATTTTGGTAACCCAACACCAAAAATTAGGACCCTATAATGGAGACCCATGATCAATAACCCCCTCCTTTTCAGGGCCTTAATATTAGGATCCCTACTACAATCCTGATTAAGGGGAAGGGTTTATAAATCACGGGTCTGGGTTAACCATTATATGATAGTCATAGGGAATTAGGGGGTTGGGTTTACCAAAATCCCCTTATTAGTTGTTGCTGCTTGCTAGGCAGACTTGGTGGGAACCTTGATGTAGGCCTCACTGTATGAAGATTCCCCCGCAAGCCAACAACTGTTTCCCTCCATTCCAGCAAGCATATCGAATGCGTAGGGGTGTAGGGTTTAGGGTTGTTTCCAGCGATGTCACGATCTAAGTGACTGTACTACTGCCACTGGCAACTTCCGAAGCTTCTGTCAGCTCTTCCGAGATGACTTCCACTTCATGTCTGTTTATGTACTGGTGCTTAAGGGGGAGTGGGGAATGAAGATAGGGACTGTTATACGGTTATACGGTATATGCGGGGATTATATCGAGATTAAAAAGGGGATTGTTACAGGGATCCACTCCCCCACTCTTCCTTAAGCACAAGACAGTGTAACAAATCCCTGTGGTAGTCCCGGAACACTCCCAACAATATCACAGCTTCCATTCTGATAAGCATTCCCTCATTCCCTGCTAGCCGCTGTTAGCCACCAACAAGAAAACCGATTTCCTGCTTGAGCTAAGCCCTGCCTCGCGCGCTCCTCCACTAAAACTTCGGGCGTCTGCCGCAGAGACTGCAAGCAACCGAGTTCAGAGCGGCGGTAGTTTGGCTGTTTGTGTCAGGGCTAGACCTGAGCAGCCTGAGGATGCCTCAAGGTTACGAGTTTTGTTTGGAAGCCGTGGGGTCCTTATACCCTGAGATTTCCTGGCATTTTAGCCTACCCTACACCCGCAAATGTCTGGGCATCTTCAGGTTGAAGGTTCCTAGGTAGCTACGAGTAGGATTATATGCAGCCCACCTCCGAGTCGGATCATTTTCCTCATGTCAACAGAACTGCTGCTTATGATCCATGTGGTCGTTGTACGTGGGCAAGTTCAATGCCCAGAGCCGGTCCTACCTTTGTCCGCCAGCGGAAACTGGTTCAGTTAGGATGAGCTAGGACCAGGAGAGAACTCGCAGGTCGTGGCTACATACGACAAGAGAGCTTTTGCCTCATTCCCTGAGTCAAACATTTGAGATACAGCTGATAGAAATCGAACAGAGCCTCACTCCCTACTGACTTTAGCCGATCATCCCTCCGAGGCCCAGAGGTGACTTAACTCCCCAATCAAATGATCATGCAGCCCATTTTCTTTTCCATTGTCCCCATAGAATCCCAATGTATTCCTAATATTACCCCATATTCTATATACTTCAGGGGGGACTATATGTCTAACCTGGGCATTAGCACACCTCCACATCTGGAGGAAGCTTGGGAGGGGCCTTTGCCAGGCACAGAGTCCTGCAAATGGCTTGGCTCTTGTTGTGATAGTTTCGGGCAAGCACAATCAAGTCAGGAGTTTCATTCTGATTGGTTTAAGAGGGTTAAGTTCCAGCTTTCCGGATTAAGTCTGTGAGTCTGGGGTTTAGAGTATTTGGTCTTGGGGCTTTACGCATAGTGCACTGTCCATGTTTTTGGTATCAGGCAGCTCTTTCGGGATTGAGTAGTCAGGCAACGTGCAGCCGCAGACACTTAAACGGATCCAGGAATGACACTACCCTCAAGCCATGACGACACCGAATCAGAAAACTGTAGACCTGCACAACCAGAACGTGATGTTTCCATCCCTTGCAAACTTCTGGGGCCTGAGTGAATTCTGTCTGGGCAAGCAGGGCCATGGTTATTGTCCACTTAGCATGCAGCAACTGAAAGTCTACACCCTAACCTGACCTAAGGCAACCGCAAGATGCTCTGTCGTCCTGATCTCCGTGTATTGGTTCAGGTCCTGCTGTGGCGACATGGGACTGCAGAATATGTGGGCACTCCTTTCATTCAGGCCCAGTCAAATCTTTGAAGGATTAAGAGACATGCACTGCAGAAAAAAGGACAAGCTTTTAAGGCAAACGTCTGCTTGGGAAAGCAGTCAACAGACCTGAGGGTCTTCTTGGATGGGCAGCTGGGTTGCCAAGTGTTGCACCTGTTACCACGATCACGTAAAATGCCATGGAGGGCGGGGTCAGTGATCATGACCGTAGTCTGTACTTTGACGTCAGTGCAAAAGCTCGAAGGTCCACCGTCATAGTCATGATCATCAACAATAGACTTCTCCCAGGAACCTTCCTGAAACTCCACTCCGGGATCTCCGGAAGAACTTGCAATTACAGAGACTCAGTTGTACGTGGCTGCCTGGCGATCCGCCCGAGCAAGAGCTTAGTGCCCGTATATTCCAGGCAGAACAAGTTTGAACCCTGAATCTGGGGGTTATATAGGGGCCTAATATAGAGATAATACAGGGATAATGGAAAAGAAAATGGAAACTACAGGGATTATGTAGGGGTTACCTCCTGAACCATGCAAGCTCTGGCAACACGCCCGAGTTACAGTCAAGATTCCGAATGGCAATACCAAACATACGACAACAACAAGATGCTGCACCCCCAAAACCGACCCGAGCAAACGTATATCTATGTATCTCTCCAAATATCCCTTCATATCTCCATAGGCCCCTCTACATCCCCATGGATTGCCATGATCCCTCCACAGCACAAGAAGCCCTAAACCCACATGACAGTATCTGCCTGCTCCCCGAGGTCTCCCGCACGGCCGAGACCTGACTCATTGATGCCTCCGAACCTAAGGCATGGTAGAGGTTGCGTTTACAGTTTAGGGTTTAAGGGTCGAGGGTTTAGGGATATAGCCGCGTCTCGAAGTTAGGCTTTACAAAAAAAATAAGCGGCAGACCAATTGGAAAGTGACATAAACATGGAAAACTGTGGGTTCTTGATGATATGTCGGATCTAGGGGTTCTCAGAAATTACGGGTCCCTTTTCGGGAGTCCTTGTGAGCGACAAGGATTGTAAGATAGTGGGTGTGATGGGAACCTCTCCTTTCCTAAACCCCCGCAAAAATCCGTAAACGGACCATATGCAGACTATCTGGTACTGCATAATGCATTCCAGCCCTCCTGAAGTGTAGTGCTCTTGAAGTATATGAAAATACAGGAGCGTAATTCATTGTCCGTCACCCCAAGCTCGACTATCTTGTATCTTAAAGGAGCCAATGTATATAGGCATTCCAGGATGCAAGACTGTTTGGGAAGTGCATGCTTCTCCTTAGCATGGGGCGGAGCGTTACGAATGAACTCGCAGTGCTTGTTCACCCAGACTGTCCCAGCCTGGCAGCGTCAGTTCGTCACGCAATACGGGACCAAGAGGATCTAAATCGTGATGCAAAAGGCGGGCGGCCATCACAATGAATCAATCAAAAGCAGCGGTGATCATCACGAAATGATGGTTTTCATTGCTAGAAAACTCCAGGATGCGTGGCGCCTTCAGCCGGTTCGCTATCTCGTTCGCCTGCAGACAACTCAAGCCTTTCACTCACCTATACACGGATTAGCAAGCTCCGTTGTAGAAAGACCCCGTCATCAGGGTGCCGCCTAGAACATATGTTCAGCGACAGGCGTCTGTCTCTGGGAATCTTCATCATGGAGGAGACCACTTCGTTCACTCGGCTTGCAGTAGATGGGCCAGGCATCAAGTTAGCGCTGCTTTGTGCAGCATGGGAAGAAGATAGGGAGGTGAAGCGTCATATCCAAGGTAGCAGCACACCTTCAAAGCTTGGCTGTGACCCGAAAACCCGGCAGGCATTTAATGAAACAAGCCTAGAGTCCTGTATCTACTGCCGTAACAAGAAAGAAAGCTCTGTGAACAACTACTTCGACATCTTCAATGGCTATTGCGCATGCGTATCTCTGCAAATTGAGGTACGTTAATTGCCCACAAGATATGATGGTCTACATTCTAGAAATCCTCAAAACCTCAAATGCTAAGCCCTGAACCCTGCATACCCTTAACCTTAAAATTCCCCTTTGGGACACTCCAAAACCCTCAAACCTAATTCTTCCAAACTCCCACCTAGCCCCAAAGTGAGCTGCAGTCTAAACTCCTAGTATCCCCCTTAATAACCCCTAACATAAGCCCTATAATAGTCCCCTACATAATCCTGTCTAACCCCCTCATAGGAGTTTAGACGATACCCCAAGCTGAGGACTCAGCCTTGTCCAGGTCTTCGCTCCAGATGGAAGCTGACAGACCGTAGCCTCACACATACCAGTTCTTAGTAGGGAATATGGGAATACATGGGCAATATACGGATAATGGAAAAGAAAACGGAAACTACGGCATTATACTGGGATATATATATATATATATTGGGATTGTGAGTAGGGAATATGGGAATGCCTCACATAGGGATCATACAAACAGGGATTGGGTTTGGTGGACTGTGATAGGGGCACGCTGTGCGGGCTCCTTCAAGGATCCATACTCTCGTTACCAGCTCAGCATGACTAAGTGTGGGGGGTTTTTAACCTTAGTCTCCGCACTGAGGGATTTAGGGGTTGGGTGTTCAACGCTGAGGCCTGACGCCCACAGAAATGCTGAGATGCCTGTCTGGAGAGGGTTCGGCGCCCCTTTTTGGGTGGGCCCATGGAAAAAGGAGGCTTTGATTATCGACCTATGCATCGCAGAAACCTCCAGCAACTGACTTGGATGCACTTTCTTTCTTGAAGCCTGAGAGAGGAAATCGCGAACAGTCACAAGCTTGAATCCACAGTAACCTGAAAATCCAAATATTCTGAAGATGGTAATCTCAAACCCATAGTAATGAAAGATAGTCGAGAGGCGCGTCGCATTGGCTCTTTGAACTGCCTCCTCATCATCCTGCTGCCATGTGCACAGGCATGCTGCTTCCATAAAACCGCTTGGCTGGTGAAGACCGCAGTGGACCTTGTCCACATTCATTGTGAGTCATCATTAAGTCATCTTAATGGTGCTGTCACCATTGTGGTTAAAGCGTGGTTACGATGACGGCAGTACGATTGCTATTCTGGAGGCCAAGCTGAGGGATCAAATCTATCAACTTGGCGTCTGCGGAAGATGCAGGGCAGCAGGGATCAGCATGGCAAAGCCTTGAGGTGTGGGTCAGTCACTCTATCAAAATTCCTCAATACATTGGTTCAAGCATAGGACACCCTAATTCACCAAGCCCATGCCTTGTAGGACATCACCGGCACCACGGGGCCAAACTGCTCCTCGTCCACTAACCGAGTGCCCTGCTCAGAAGCACAGTCGGGACAGAAGTCTGGATGACAGGTCTTAGTATGCCCCGCGTTTCAAGTGCCTCCTGCGTAGACCCAGACAATCCTTCTGCCCTTCGTTTCAATCCGCTCCCACCTTCATTCCTGTTTCTCCCTGTGGTTCGTTCAAGGAGGTGGGCACTAAGAAGCATCAATGGAGCAGCAAAAGCCTCTGCCACATCCACCACGATGGTGGGAAGGTAGAACAAGCCCGTGTTCGAACCTTTCGGAAACGCCAAACTCTTCTTAGGAAGGAATACGCCATATCTTATCTTTGGCCATCTTTGGCTCAGTGAGCTAAGGTAGCTCTCCTCAATTAAAAGCTTTGACAAATCTCCAGCGCAGTAACTGAAGTTGCTGATTCCACAACTCCTGTGGCCCGGTTGCTGCGCTCCAAAGCCTACTTACTGGGATCCATATAATAGTCCCTATAGAATCCCATGTACATCCTTACAATGGTACCGATATTCACTCCCCCACTGGCCCTTAAGCAACAGTAGGCCAGTGGTCGTCCACAGCCTCGGCACAAGCAAAACGCACCCAGCGGAACCTTCATCACCAGGAGGCCCTGCGGTGGCCTGCAGAGGAGATATCGCCAAGTAGCTGTTTATGTTTCTTGTGGTTGTTTAGGGATAAGGGTTCAGGTTTTAGGGGTTCGGGGCTAGGGTTTAGGGTCTAGGATGTCCTGAAATTGCTTTCCTGTAGATTCTGGCCGTTATTCTGGTAGCTCTTGGGCCCAGGCCCCACCGCCGCAGAGTACGCGGCCACCTTTTCGTCGGGCATCCTGTCGTCCACAACACTGACACACTGGGGAATTGGTAGGGAAGTAGGGATACATTCAGCAAGCAAAAGCCAGCAAGCACAAGAGAACCAGCTGAGAGAGGGCGTAATGTCCTGTTTAAGGGAGCATTGGCTTCGGCGACAGCATCAGAATATGCGGGTTTGGCTGAGAGCAGGTTGGGTGTTGAGGAAATGTTTGCAAAGTAGCTTACTTGCAGGATCGCTGCCGTTGGGCCAGCACCTCCTTGAGGCTACGTCCTCTTGATATCTAGGACTGGATTCCTGCACGAGGTGCGGAATCATCCTAGTCACAGCCTGTTCAGTGCAATTCCGCGATCCATTGCACGGAACAGAACGCGCCTGAATCCCCCAATTCTTAGCCAGGACCTCTGCCCGAAACATCAATCCAACCATTTGGGGTCTGACTATACTAGCCCAGGCCGAGCAAGGAAGCGATGCTCACAGACCACCACCCTCGGAGATAACAAGGTGTCTGATGATAACAGCTTAGTAACGGTTGAGTAGTACGAGCAGCGTGTTCGGCAGTCCTCCACCAGCTCCATCACATGGCGAAGTTGCACAGCACTTGCCTTGGACTTGCTTCGACATGGTGACTAAATATATGATAGTACATTGTAGTAGATAATCGTCGATTATTGTAGACTCTGGATCAACAACAGTAGTCCGCCAGCTTTGGTAGTTGCCAGACTGTGAGAGCTTCTCAAAGATCAGGGCGCTTTACTGGCCCTACCACAGCTCGCAGATTTGACTCGTTGTTTTGGAGGTGTTCAGGGCAGAGCCCCTAACAAGACCCACCCTGAGCCCTAAGTCCCGCGGAGCCCAGTCGCCAGCGGACCCAGCTCAGTTCCTGAGGACAAGCCGTTGCCCAGCACTGCGCGGCGCGCGCGGGCCACAAAGGCCTGGAGAGGAAAAGAGCTGGAATGAAAGGTAGCATAAGGGCACTCTAGCATTTTTGGTAGGGATTCAGCAAATAAGAAACTATAGTAGACTACCATAGGACCATGGTAAACCATGAATAGATTATGCTATGTTATAGTATATTCTCTCAATGCTCAGAGTCAAGGGTTTAGAGTTAGAGCTTATCCAGCCCGAGCCTCGTTTAAAACTTGAACTCTGAATTTGTAAGCTGAGTCACCTGCATCGAGGTCTTTAGATTTGGAATGCCTTGTCTGCTGTCGTTCAACCACTTTGGATCGTTTAGGCCTCGAGGTTGGGGTGAAAGTTTGAGATACAGAGTCCGGATAGAATGAAGAGCTTCATGCTTCTGGATACAGAATTGTCTAGCTAGGCTGTACCATACACCTTGAACACTACACTACACTACACTTCAGTAAGGCATGTGGCTTCCCAGCCGAGCTTGTACCTACAAGGTTTTCAGCTGTCATTTGGTACTGTTACAACAAGACAGCGCCACCTGCACAAACTTGTCGTAGATCTTCTCCTGGAAGTCAGGCAAGGATTGGAGAAAACACTTAGGTAGACTCACAACAGCTCGAACTCTGCGGGATGAGGAAGAACGTCAACAGATGTCAAGGAATTTACATGTTGAGGACGCGCATCTCCAGAGACAAGCCTGTAAGTAGAGAAAACACAGACGATGAGAAAGAGTGGCAAACCTGCGACCGTCCTGGACATAGATGCGCTTCGCAGCGCAACATGTCTGGCCATTGTTGAAAAACCTGAGGATGCATGGAAGTTTGATGCATCGGGGGTTGACTTAGCACTCCATCATTTCTACAAGGCTAGACGGCAACACTTCGATGGATGCCAAATAAACGGAATCCTAATTGCTGCGTTCCGGGTGACCTGGGGCAGCTGAGTGCCTCTGTGGCTCTCAAACTCAACCTATGGCAGATCTATATATATATATATATTGTTCTGAAAAAGAGAGTAACCACTCTGCGAATATCTTCTGACATTGGCCATCTCAAAGCCAAAAAAGCCGAGAGGCGCTCCCTTGAAGAGGCCTTCTGCGGCCTTGTCCACATCGCAGTCTTCGCGCACGATCCTTAATGCAAGCCTACTGAACACTTCGATATTATCCAAAGGTGTAGGTTCCACAAAGTGCAGCAGCAGGAACGGAAGCAACTTAAATACATCACCATGCTGCCGAAATCCACACCAAAGCTGCCAAAATGCAGTATATGCAAGACAAGCGAATCAAGAACACCTGGTACATCTTAGAGCCCGCAACACCGACAGAGTCCTTCTCCAATTCCTATGAGACTGCATGGAAGCCCTGCCAAACCCCGTGGCTCTCCAACAAGCCCACATCAAACCCAACCAACCCCACGACTTCTTGCACCCTCCAGTCCAAGGATCGCTGGATCGTTGCCTCAGCAAAGCGTCCCGTCCCCAAGAAAGGCCACCCGTTTAATTAGAGGGCTATCTGTCGGCTTGAAACTCCACACTCAAAACATGTAAGTCCCTAAAGCCTAAACGCAGAGGCTCCGAGATTTCCTACTATAGTGCTACAGTGCCGGAGACTTTCCAGCGTGCCTATCTCCCTGCAACCTGCCAAACCTTCACTGCCCACCTCTCAGAGTGAGAAAAGTTCCATGGGAGCAGCCTAAAACATGACTGGAACAGAGGGGTTTAGGGTATCTCGCATGCTGTGATTAGGACTACAATCCGTGACTGCTAAAGGGGTATTCAGGCGAGCGACGAAGCACTCCAAACTGCCCTTTAAAAACCTCACAGCCCTTTCTTGAAGCCCCCCACCCCTCTCCGAGGAGCCTCCGAGTTCCAGCAGTAGACGCTTGAAACCCTTGGCACAAGCCTCCATGACCTGCAAAACAGATGGATTGAGGGTTCAGAGCTTAGAAGGGCCCACAAGGAGGACCGTAAACAATTATATAATGATTATGCAAGAATGATGAGGAAATTGCATTACCAAATCTTTCTGGCTCTCAAATAGTGTGTATACATCCTTCATCTCCAGTTTGAGGGTCCAAGGATATAAGATCAAGGTTTCTAGAACTGGACAGGATCCCACAGAGCCAGCTCAACTCTGAAATTATCTTCCTAAGCAATTATCCAAAAAAGGAATCACAGATTCTTTGGCATCCTGGCGGTCAAGATCCCATTCCCAAATCCATACTGCATGATGTAGTTCGAGCTGGAAAAGTGACTTGTGATTCCGACCAGGAATTCCTGTGTGTGTTTCCCTACCTAACATGTCACCAAGGTCGGAACCCTCTGCCCCCAACATGTGCGCATAATGTGGCGTGTGGATATGCAAACTACACAACTTTAGGCTGTATCCCCTATGAAAACTGCCCAAGGCAATTGAGGGCTCAGGAAATGGCTACGGATGGCTATGACCTGCAATTTGAAACATAGCCAAACAGAGCTAGTGCCTTGCTGCCAATGGCCGTGGAACCTGTGAAGACAACTTTCCGCACCTGAGAAAGGAACGCTAGCTCACTTTTCGAAGGGCGGCAGGAAACATTTCGGATTCCTGTGTTGGTGGGGAACGGTCCAGCAGAAGGTCTGCCTAAACGGCAGCCAAGTACGCTTCAAAAGAAGCAGGGCATTGCTCATTCGATTTCCTGTCGGCAGGTCCCTCTTTTGTTGGTATGACATGGCTCCATGAGGTCTACTTGTCATTGGAGATACATGAGAAGATCAGCTGTAGAACCGGAACTAGGTGGGATCGAGCGCATGTTCCCCTCAGATGGTCCTGAACCACAAGAGGAAGCTTTGATGGATATTTCGCAAAAGTGCTCTGGCCACTCCGACTGAATCGGAACCCGCCTGACCCCAAACCCTCTAACCCCCCTGGAAAAAGTCGAAACCTCAATCTCAGTGTGAGAGCGCTGAACACCCCCCAAGCCGCATCCCCTGAACCAAGGAAAAACCGGTTACACCTGCCCCTTCCAGCTCCCCTTGCCGACGGGTGGCGAGCTCATGGTTGGTCAGGACCTCCCCAGGCCTGGAACAGGGAAGCCTGGCCTAATATTGGATCCCCAAAAGAACTACTTCAGTAGCATGAGCAAGATGAAGCACATATGGGTAAGCCTTGTAACAACAGCGCCATTTGTTTCTAGAGATTCTTCCTGCTCGCTGAGGAACTCAAAAAGGAAGGGCTTTGAGGAATTGAAGGCTCAGGGTTACAGAATGTTGTCAGCCAGAAGCATTCCAGCGATTCTCGATTGGCTTTCAAACCCTCTTAGGGATTTGTTGGATGGCCCTTAGCCGTCAGATGGCGGCATATCTGAGCCCTTAGCCCGTGACACTAATGCCTGATTGCCCTGAGAACCGGTGATTAGCAGGGAACAAAAGAATATAATACCGATATAACCTCTATATACAATATTCCCTTACTCCCTACTAACAACCCCAATTTATGCTCTATTATCTTGGCGTAGCTCTTCCATTGTCTTTTCCATTATCCCTATATTACCCAAAGATGCCGTAAGATACTATCCCTACACTCTCATTACTCCCTCTCCCTTTGCACGTTCCTGCCTCGGGTTTGCCAGGTCTGAGCCCACCACAACATTTAGCACACCTTCAGGGATACATGGGAAAATTAAGGTCCCATTTTGGCACCCCTAGATTTAAGTATCACTTGCTGTAATATACTCTATAGCCACAAGGGGCCCATGATTTTGAAAACAACTCACGTTCATGATGTTGGAGCGAGTTATGGGGATTGTGGTAGAACGTCAAGTTTACCGTCCCTTGTCGAAGAGGACCTGGGGGCTGCGCCACCTCAGTGGCTGGAACGGTGGGTCCTCAGAGTATGCTGAAGAGATCCTCCTCAGGCCCTTGCACGCACTTCATGCTGAGAAGCCCAGACTCCGAACTATCCCAAAGATTTCACGTTAAGCTTGAATCCCTCATCCCAGACCCAGGCGCCATGCTTCCTGGCCAACTGCCGAGTATGGACCGTGCAATGCAGAGACCCAAAGATCATCCCTTTGCAATCCTCATAGAACAGTTGTAAGAGGTACCCACAAAGCCTTTTTGAATTATGTTAGGTCTCGGTGTAACAGTTGAACTTTTTTCCGTCAGCTGCGAGCCTCTAGGTAGCAGCGGCCGCAGAAGTTCACCGATGCGCAGAGTTGTGAGAGGCGTCTGCGGGGCCGGTTTCAACACAACCTTCGCTCAACAAGGTCTGTGTAGCAGCTGCAAAAAGAGAAGAATCTGCAGAGGGAAAGCGGGTACACCCAAGAATGGTGATCATCATCATCATGCCATGGCAATGTTGACGACCCTCACTGTGGGAACCCCACCGCCTATGAGGCCTTATTCGGAGGGGGGGTTGCTACCACGACAGGCCCTGGAGAAACCTAACCACAACAAGAAAACAACCTACCACGACAAGAGCCCCAGAACCAACAGCGACAAGAAAACAGCCTCGCACGACATGAGATCCTGGAGACAACAGCGACAAAGATAAGGGACGTAGATCCTCCCAAGCAGTACTGGAGAATGCAAAAACGTGATTTTTTGACTCATTCCGCGCAGAATGCGACTCGATGATGGGCGAACTGGACTGCTGGGCTGCAGGGAGGTGGAGGGAAGGGGGCTGTGCTGGGGGCTGTGCTCCGCGTCTGGGGAGGTGGTGGGAAGGGGGCTGTGCTCCGCGTTTTCGGCAGTGGAGTAATCAGGGAGCCGAACTGGGCTTCAGGTGGTGGGAAGGGGGGTTTTCGGCACTTTGGAGGGCTGAAAGCTCCGCGTTTTCGGCACTGGGGCCGAACTGGGCTTCTGGGCTGCGGGGAGGTGGTGGAAGGGGGCACTTTGGAGGGCTGAAAGTGCCGAAAACATGGAGTAATCAGGGGGCCCTGGGCTGCAGGGGAGGTGGTGGGAAGGGGGCTGTGCTCCGCGTTTTTTGGCACTTTGGAAGGCTGAAAGTGCCGAAAACATGGAGTAATCAGGCGGGCCGAACTGGGCTTCTGGGCTGCAGGGGAGGTGGTGGGAAGGGGCTGTGCTCCGCGTTTTCGGC